CCGCCCGCCCTGCCTCCATCCACAGTGCTGAGACCCTCTGTGTGCCAGGGCGCCGTCTGTCCTTTGTCCCAGTCGTGGCAGCTGGTGGGCTTCCAGCGTGAGGGCCCTGTGCTGCACCAGGGAGGGGTGAGGGCGGGCCACAGAAGCTGCCTCGGCTTGGTCTCCGCAGGCCAGCGGCGCACACTTCTCCTGGCCCCAGCCGCATGGGGGTTCCGTTTCCTCTGAGACCAGTCTCCCTAAATCGCCCCTGCCTCGGCCTCCTAGATTGCCAGGACAGGGCGCACCATCACGCTCAAGCCTCGTCCTCTCTTTATTCACCTTCTGTCCCTTTCCTCCCCCCCGCTTTTTTCTCTTTTTCTTTTTTTGAGATAGAGTCTCACTTTGTACTCACTCTGTGGTGCGGGCTGCCCTTGAGCTCACTGTGTAGCCCGGGCTGGCCTCGAACCCAAGGCGATCCCCCTGCCTCAGCCTCCCAAGGGCCGGGACTGCAGGCGTGCACCGTCTCTCCCTTTCTTCACTATTTCTGGTGTTATTTTCCTACTACACAGGCCTGTGCCTTTCCCCCTTGTGCTTGAAGCCCATGGAGGCGTGTCCACTTCCACTCCCTCCTCTCTGCCCCCACGCCGAGCCTTCCCTGGCACTCCGCTCAAGCTCCAGCTCTCCCTGGGCTCCCCTTCCTGCACACCTCCTCCCTGCCTCCCTTGTCCCTGGGTCCCAAGCGCTGCCTGATGCAGAGGAGCTGCAGTGGCAATGGAGAGGACCCCCAAAGTGGCCAGGCAGGGTGGTCCATGCCGTGCCACTGCTCTGCCTGCTGCTCCCAGGCCTGGCAGTTCGTCCCGTGGGTGCCAGGGGCAGGCGGCATCCTGGGGCAGAGGGGCGGTGAGGTCTGGGACTTGCGTGATGCCACCGCCACCGCCACCGCCATCACCACCACCATCCCACTCCCCCTCGCTGACCCTCACTGTCTCCATGTTTCATTGTAGACTGAGGGCGGTGGCAACGAGGCCCCTCCGTGCCCAGGCCTCCCTGCAGGGGAGGAGCCGGCCGGCTCTGAGGCTGCGCCCGACGCTGGCGCCCCCACTCCAGCCGGTGGCCTCAGTGGCCTCCCCACCCTGTCAGGGGGTGGTGACCAGAGGGAGGCCCAGACCTTGGACAGCCAGATCCCGGAGACAAGTAAGTGGCTGGGCTCGGCCTGAGGGCCTGAGGGCCAGCCGGGGCCCCGCCACTGGCCGGAAATTGAGCTCCTTTGTTTTCGACTAGAGTGTGGCCTGAGTTTTAACAAAGTCACCTTTTATTTTCCAGGCATCTAATGATGACATTCTGGTCTCGTCTTCCGTCTCCCCCGTGTCCCTCCTGTTTCCCCCGCTCCCTTTCCCTCCCCGCTCCTGTGTCCCTGCAGATTGAGACCTACAGGCTGACGTTCCGGGCAAACGCCAGGGCCCGCACCGACCACGGGGCCGACATTGTCTCCCGGCCCCTCACTTCCCTGGCTCCCGGCCCTTGGCTCCCTGTCCCAGGCTTCCCACTAGGCCTGTGAGTGCCCACTCAGGCGCCGGGCAGCCCTGTTAGGCCCTTCCCTGGTTCTGGGCGGCCGCAGGCCCAGCCCGGCCCTCCTGCTTTGCTCCTGTCCCATCACTGGCCACTGCTGGCCTCGGGGTAGGCAGGGGAGTGGGGGTCCTGTGGGATCTAGAGGGAGGAACTGGATTCCTACCTCCACTGTTTGGTTTTTTTGGACCAAACCCAAAAGAAACTGACATGCCCTCCCTCCCTCCTCCCTGGCCAGCCTGGAGGGATGAGTGCGGTGGTTCCAGGTGGTGACCCTGCTTGGGCTGTGCCCCCTGGAGCCTGCTAAGCCTCTGCCTCACCCTGTGACACCACGAAAGCACCCACCGTGCAGGCGGCACCAGGCCGTCCTGCTCCCCCACATTAGTTAGGAGCCATGCTGCACCCTGCTGCTCCCGTACCTGCCTCGCTGCCGTCACGCTCTTCTTTCTCTCATTTCCCCCACTAACCTGTAGCCAGTGGAGTAGTTGTGCAGGTTGAAGCCATGTCCAAGTGAGGGTCTTGGTAGGTGTGAAGGGAGTGGGGAGGGAATGCCCTGCGCGCTGTGGGGAGGGACTCGAGGTGCAGGGAGGCAGCCTGGTGATGCGCTGGTCAGCGTGGGCTGCTTGTGTTGGCGTTTCGTGTGTATGCTGCTTTTCTTTTCTAACCAAGAGGCTGGGTTTGGCATCTGTCTGTCTCGTTCCCTGGGATTTGGTGGTCACCGTGTGATGCAAGGCCAGTGCTGAAGCAGGAGAGGGCTGTGGGGTCACAGTCCCGCAGCCTGACCTGTCGCCTTGGGACACCCAAGGTCTCCATGTGTCTCATGTGGACAGTGGGGAGTCAGGTCTGGAAATTGGAAAATGAGGCCTGAGACTGGGGCCACCACTCCCTTCCGGCTGAGAGGAGGGGCCAGCCCGTGGGCAAGCCCCAGTGAGATCCCGGGGACCGTATGGACAAGATTCTTATTGCACTTGTATTTTTTGTATTAAAGTTTGCATGGTTTCTAATAAAGGATTAAAACAAATTTGTAGTGAAGCGGCCTGGGAGCTTCCAAGGGCTTCTCCAGAGGGGCATTTCCTGCTGCGCAGACTTGTCTTGGAGGTGGTGGTGGCGGCCAGCCTGGATGGCACTCTGGCCCTCCACTCCGCTCCCCGGTCCCCACGTTAAGGGAGGGCATCCCCACGCCTCAGGTGGTCCTTTCCTTGCGGAAGACGCCTACTGGACAGTGAGCCCAGCTAGAGTCCATTTTGTCTGCTGTGCCAGCGACACTAGGGCACCGGAGCGGTCAGCAGGAGGAGGCCAAGGTGGAGATACTGGGTCTGCAGGCACCTGCATCTCTCCCTACCTAGGGTTGATGCTGAAGTTGATGAAGGGCTCCAAGTGCTCCTTGGCCAGGGCTTGGGGAAAGGAAGGTGGCTGTGGAGAGCCTGGGCTGGGCCCCAAGTCCACCCTAAGAGGCTGTCTGTTTCCTGCTCCCTTCAAGTGTCCCGCAAGCCAGAGGATCCGCAAAGGCCGACCTGACGGATGGGGACCGTAGCTCGGACATTTCTGTGCTCCCCATCTTGCTGTGGTTCAGCTGTTACCAGTCTGTGATTGTTGTACTGATCTGAGTAAATAAAGCTGCCTGATGTTCCACACACAGGCCCTGGGTAGCCTCTGTCTGTTCCACTCCTTCCATCGGGGCCCAGCATGCACTGTGCACACCACCTGGGTATCCGCAGCACCACTCAGCCGGCCTGCGGCTGTCACCAAGGGCAAATGTCTGCAGTGTCGCCATGGCAGGCTAGGTCTTAGTGAGAAGCTGCTCAGCACCATGCAGACCACAGGGCCAGTGACCCACAGGCTTCCGTGCTTCAGGCCTGGTGCAGCAGAGGCCACACAACCCCTGGCCCCCCTGGCCCACAGTGCTGCGCCCCTACTGGACAGCGATGCTCACAAGGGATAAATAGAGCTTTATTTTAAATAAACATTTGCACTCTGTACACAGCCCCAGCGGAAGAGGGGCTCAGTCATCCGCTGTCTTGCGCACGTCGAAGCTACCACAGGGTCCTCGCAGCAGCTCTGCCACCAGCGCAAGCAGCTGCCCGTGCTCCTGCTGCACACTCGGCGGAAGTGCGGCCAGCTCGCTGCGCAGGCTGCGCTCCACCATGCGCCCCAGGGCCCGGCGCAGCTCCCTCAGCAGCCGCACGGTTCTCGAGTCCCCCTCCAGCCGCAGCAGGTCACTGTCACTCAGGGAGATGGTGGCACGGCGCCCGTCATCTAGGGGAGGGGCAAGATGACAGTCACTGCGAGGCCAGGCCGAGGACACATTGAAGGAGCAGAGGGTGTGGACACCTACCCCGGACATGGAGGTCCCCGTCGGTCAGGAGCAGCACTGCTAGCGGGTGCACCTGGGAGGAGTCCCGCACAAAGACGCTGCCATTGGACTTGACGGCCATGAAGTAGGTCAGCCATCGGCTCCGTAACCTCGTGGCCTCCCTGGGGAAGCGACACGGCTAAGTCAGGCCGCCCTCTCGGCCCTTCCCAGCCCCCTGTCCCATCCTGCCTGTCCCTCACCTGTTAATGGTCGACTTGTGCAGCAGGATGTTGCCGGATTTGGTCCTGTAGGTGACACTGTTGGGCTTGAACTTCCCCTGCCGGGTCACCTTGCCCTGCCTCACCTGCAGGGACAGGGGGATGAGCAGGGGCCGGGAAGCCGGGCCTGCTTCCCGCTTCCCACTTCCCGCAGGGCCGCACCTGGATGAGGTTGGGGTAGAGCCCGGCCATGAGCACACCCTTCACCAGCTCCTCCTCCTCGCTGTACTCATTGCACTGGGCCGAGGGCAGTGTGCAGTCTGAGGGTTTGCCCACCAGGAACGCCTCGTAGATGTTCTCAGAGAACTGCTTGATGAGCCCTGGGGAGGGGCACGTGGGCCTGGGCGTGAAGGGGGGCGGGGCGGGGCGGCCGATGGATGAAGCGCAGGCTGGGGGCGTACAGCAGATTCTCCTCCAGGTAGTTCTCCCTCGACGTGCGGTCCTGCCAGCGCAGCACCTCCTCCCAGCCGGCCACCGCGCGCACAAAGGCCAGGTGGTCGCTGCCGCTGTCGTGGCTCAGCAGTGCCTTCACCTGGGGGGAGATGGCACCGGGGTCCTGGGTGAGGCCAGGGCACCTCACCTCCCGCGTACCGTGGACGGGCAGGGAGGGACGCACGCTGACCTTGTCCACCTCTGCCCGGTTCTGCAGGCTGCTGCTGAAGGGGTCCCGGGTGAGGCAGGAGACCACCACGAGCAGCGGGTGCAGGCAGCGGAAGATGGCGGCCAGCACAATGGCCTTGGCCAGCCGGGGGTCCGTAGAGATATGGGCCAGGCGCTGGCCCAGGGTGGTCAGGTACTCGCGCTGGTCCAGCACCCCTGCAAGCGTGCGGCCGTCAGCCCCAGCTAAGCCCCTGTGCTGCTCCCCCTGGGCTGGCAGCCCCACGTACCAATCTCCTGGAGCAGGATCACAGCCTCGTCCACCGCCTTGATGTTGGGGGTGTCCACGGCCTTGGAGAGGAACTCCACCGCCTAGCGAGGACAAGCAGCGCCCGTGGGCCTCAAGCCGCTGGCCCCCGCCCACCTGCCCCGTCACCCTGCCGCACCGTCTTCTCAGGCATGTGGATCTTGGCCTGCAGCACCAGGTTCTCCAGGGGCGTGCGAAGGATCTCGGGCACTTGGAAGGGGGCCATCTTCTCCAGCCGGCTGCGTGGGAACAAGTGGTAGGCGAAGCCTGACTGGCAGCGGCCCGCCCGGCCTCGGCGCTGGATCACATTGGCTCTCGACACCCACACGGTCTCCAGGCAGGACACCTGGGGGAGGCAGGGGGCCGACACACCAGCACCTTTCAGTGCCTTCCCACTGCTCAAACCCTCGGCAGCTCCCCACAGGACAGACCTCAGGCACGGCCGGGAACTGGCCAGGCCAAGGGCAGAGGCGCCACCTTGGTCTTGAGGTCATAGCGCTCCTCCTTATGCAGACCGCTGTCCACGACATGCACAATGTCGTTGACTGTGATGGAGGTCTCCGCGATGTTCGTGGCCAGGACTATCTTCCGCACCCCAGCCGGAGGCTGCTGAAATATGGCCTTCTGGTCCATCATGGGGATGTTGGAGTGCACTGACGGGCAGCAAGACACACGCTGGTTACAGACATGCTCCTGCCAGTCCCAGCCCCAGGAGGGGATTCTGACCCCACCTTGGTGAAACCGAGGCCCAGATCAGCGAGATGCGCATGGAAAAGTGGTGCGACTGGTCAGAACCCTGTGCCTGAGTCTGGTCTCCCACTCTCACCTGGCAGGATGAGGTACTTGCTCTCGTGCATGCCCAGGGCCTCCTGCAGGCGCTGCTGCACTCCCTTGATCTCCTGCCACCCGGGCAGGAAGCACAGGATCCCACCTGCAAAGGGCCTGCACGCATGAGCCAGCTGCTCTGGCCAGTGGGCAGCGGCCAGCGGGTGCCAGGGTGGAGATGGTGGGCCAGGGCCGGAAGCACCCACCTGGGTCTCCATGCGCATCAATGTGCAGAATGAGATCCATCACCAGGTCCAAATCGAGTGCACATTCGTCCTCAGACTGGGGTGGGGGAAGAGAGGCCCCAGTTAGGCCCGGGGAAGGGCGGTGCGCAGGACAGGGCCAGAGCCACTTGACATGTGTGCTCCAAGCCTCTCGTACTTGCCACCTGGGCACTAGCGTTCCTGTCTCCATCAAGGAAACTGAGGCTCAGGCGGGGCGGTTAACTTGCCCTAGGTCACCAAGCCACAGACAGGGAGGAGGGGATGCAGAGGACAGGCCAGGGGCCACTGGGGCCACTGGGGCCAGGAGTCGCTCACCTCATGGTGCCGGTGTCGGTGTGGGTACTGGTGCTTGCCCAACTTGGCCAGGATGTCCTCCAGGTAGTGCTCCTTGACGGGGTACATGAAGCCAGGCACCTTGATGACAGGGCAGCCACCAAAGTAGCGGGAGAAGCGCTCATTGTCGCCTGTGGCGCTCATGAGCACCAGCCGCAGCGTGGGGTTGAGGCGCTGTAGGCCCTTGAGCAGGATGAGCAGGAAGTCCGTGTTCACGTCGCGCTCGTGCACCTCGTCCACAATGACATGGCTCACGCCCTCCAGGCTGGGGTTGCTCTGCAGCTTGCGCAGCAGGATGCCCACCGTGCAGAACAGCAGTGCCCCACCCCGTGCCGGCGGCTTGCTCTCCAGGCGCACCTGGAATCCCACGTTCCGGCGCAAGGAGGGGCCTAGTTCGTGGCTGACCCGCTGCGCCACGGACACGGCTGAGATGCGGCGAGGCTGCGTGATGATCACATTGCAGTGGGCCCCGCGGCCCTCGGTCACGTAGCGCTCCAGCAGCAGCTGGGGGATTCGCGTTGTCTTCCCACAGCCCGTGTCCCCAGAAATGACCACCACAGGATGCTGCTCAATGGCATTGAGGATGGTGTCCCGGTGTGGGTCCACGGGGAGCTGGGGCACCTCCTGCCACATGGGTCCCCGTCGCCGCCACAGCTCCAGCAGGCTCTGGTTCAGGCGCACCTCCTCGGCCTCAGTCAGGGGCACAAAGGGCTTGCCAGTGATGGGGTCGCTCAGTGGCCCCGAGTCCTTGCCCAGGGGCAAGATGTCCTCACTGTGCAGTCGGAGCTCGGGTGAGAGCCATGAACTTTCCACGGGGTACTGGGGGACAAGGAGGCAAGCGAAGTGGCGACAGGGCAATACAATTTGCCTCCACTATGGGACTCCCTGGGTTAGGTGCTAGGGCCGAACCCGAGGGCAGAGGACTCAGACCACAACCACCCCAGGGCCTCGTGGGCCATGGGAAGGCGAGGGGTGGCAGGGGGCGCTCACGTGGTTCAGGAAGGACTCTATCTTGCGGAGGATGGGCTCTGGCACCTGGATGGTGCACGGCCGGCGCTGGGTCTCCCCCAGCTCCCGCAAGGAAGCCAAGTTGTACATGGCGTGGGTGAGGGGCTCGTTGTTCCTGTCCACCAGGCCCAGGCTCTGCAGAGGAGACATGTGGGCTTCAGGCTGTGCTCCGGGCCCACACAGGCTGGGAGCGCCGCGAGAGACACTGGGTAAAGGGATCTCTTTTCCAAGAGAGTTTAGTTTTCTCACTGCAAACCACAGCGAGAAATTAGGAACTAGGAAAACATGAATCTCCACAAAATAACCCAAGTCACCTAGCTAAAATTAATTCAAGAGCTAAGCTTGACATGTCCCAGGAGAACAGGCCCAGCCTGGCTCCAGCGTGGCGCTGAGGACAAGGCTCCCCCGACGCAGGGGACTCGCACAGGACCCGAGAACCCCAACCATACCTCCAGGTCTCCCATGGCCCTCATCCCATCCTCGACCCCATCCCAGAGAGGATACAGACTTCCCCAAAGGCTGTGACTGGATGAGTCTTTACCAGAAAACACTAGCTCATGTCCCTGCACGCCTAGAGCTACCTCACAAGAGCCCTGAGCCGTGTGCAGAAGCAGCCGAGTCCCACATGCCCTCAGCCGGAGCAGCCAGCTCTGCCCATCCTCCAAGGCCTGGACTGAGCACACCTGCCCCAAGGAACCCTTTCCCTCTACCGGGCCCATCCCCTTTCCCTGAACAGGAAGGCCCCACTAGCCGGGAAAGGGAAAGCTTCCGGGAGAGGGAAAGA